TAGCATCTAAAAGGACAACCCAGGCCCTTGCATCAGGAGCCAGCATGGTGGAAGATGCTCCTTCATCTCTACAATTCAGGGAATCATAAGGATTRGGAGCTCACAATAAGAGCATTCTTTTTGTGAGCAATTTTGCTTTTGCAGCATGTAGGGACCACTCTCYGTGGTTCTTGGAACTTTCTGTGTGTTTATAACTATTTCCAAATAATGAATTTTAGAAGCAGGGGAAACAAAGCCATAGTATTTCAGGACATACAATTGGGTGAGAAAGCTCCACAGAGAAATGTAAGGCAGTCCTTACTCTGTACCTTGTGCTGGCCAGTTCTGAGGGGGAAGGAACTGTAACCAGACAGGAGCACGTAAGGGGCTTCTGGTGTGTAGGTCAAGCTCTGTTCTCCACCTGCCAATGGTTAGGGGAATTGCCTTATGTCCCTGGGGGTCCTGGGTGAGAGCCGTGGGCGTGCCCTGTGCGTGTCCAGGGCARGTGTGCTGCATTTGCTTTTGTTTGTGGAGGAGGGTGACTGGGAGCATTTAGGCACGCACCATAGATTGCCTCCAAGGCAGGAGCTGGAGGCCTAAGGAGTTGGCAYGTGGCTCAGGGTTTTCAGGAAAAACCTCCAGACTGGGTCAGATAGTGGGATGCATTCTAAATTCTTACAATTAGACAATTTTGGTATCTATAAACGTGAAAAATGCCAGTCATCATCTTGAGAATGCATGTTTTAAAAAGGTATCAGGAAATCCAGGGGTTGGCTGTGGTGAATTATAGTCTAATGAGTTGACAATTACCATAAATTATTTAGCCACCATGAGATGGTAGCTAATTGAATTCCAAGTCTATTAAAGTTTATAGCCACTTRTATTGACATTTCTGAGACCCTCTTACCTAGAGCACTCATCTCTATTATTCCATGCATAGAATGGTGGGTTGAAACACCGGGACGCTCTTCCTTAAGGCAATGCCCACTTTACACCTGAGACAATGCTGGACCCAATGCCTTGGGTCCAAGAGTGACATCATGGACACCAAGCTGTCCACGGCCAGGTCCTGGTCCACAGCAGACTACCTGGCTGGAGCCTGGGGTGCATGTGTTTTTGGTGATTCTGGCTGGAACTGTCCTCAGAGGACTCCAACAGTCTTCCATGCACCGAAGGAGAATGCTCTGCCCTGAGACTGTGGAGGGAGCTTTTCCCCAGAGAAGGAGCGCCTTTCCAGAAGAGCCTTACAAGTGACATGTGGGTGCTTCGGAGCAGGTGTGAGGGGTCCGAGGGCTTGGGAGGCRATGCTGACTTTCAGCCACTGAGCAGGATGGTTTCACACTAACAGAAACAGCAAAACCATTCCACATGAACAGGGAGAAGACAGAAGGGTGGTCACTAGGCTGGGGTTGGAGCCAGAGGGTGGCTCTGCGCCAAGCGTGGTGCTGCTCCTGGACATGGGCAGCGCTGCCTGGTAGATGCCCTTCCAGCTTCTGTTCTAATAATTTTCTGTCTCAATTCCTCTCACCTTCCTAATCTTCCAGCTTTGGAAGATCACTCACCCCACCCATGCCTATCCCCACTTGGCTTTTAGATGACACTTGTGTCAATATCTTGAGCACATSCAGGTCACATGTCTAGAAGATGTGGGCGGACTTGTGTCAACAGAGAGCTCAATGGAGGTTTCATTTCCTCCTTGGGATCAGGACAYTCTCTGCACATTTGCTATAGCTGTTTGAAGGGAAATACTGATTCCAACATATCTTGTTTCAGAATAAAGTCCCCCTTATCCAGGTAGCTGGGCTCTGTGATACGGAGCAATTTGGTGCAGTCACTAACATGGTCAAATATAATAGTGTGCTAGTGGGGGTGTCACATGTCACCTCACTGGGAAGTTCTGGTTGGTTTTGAAAAGCAACGTTCTCTCTCTATAAACACAGAATCACTTTCCCTTGTGTGGCCTGTCTACTCGAGAGGATTAGCACACAGTTTGGAAGGGATGGAGCTATGGAAGAAAGACCTGTTCTCCACCATCTGCCTTGATGTCCCTGGACACCATGTGGGGCTCAGTGGATGCTAGCAGATGTATGCAACTTTTGTCCCCAAGTCTGCCTGCTCTGTCTCTGGCTCTGATGGATGTYATCTTACTGAATAAGTCCCCAGTCCACAGCTTGCGATGCAATGGCTGAACTTTGGTGGCAGCTCCATGGTCTTCTCTGCTCTCTGAGTGCTGACCCACTGTCCTGGTCAGCCAGGTAGGAGCAGCTGCCCCAGCTCAGGCTGGCCTTCCCCACCCCTACCTTTCACTCTCGTCAGCACACAAGAGCCATGCTTATCAGATGAATCTGCACCATCTGGAACCTCAAAATGTCTACACCAGCTGTGAACAGCAGCCTTCCACAGCCCTGGACTCCTCAGAGCTCTTGCCCCCTGGCTGTGTTGGGCTCTTCCRGCTGCAGCAGGACAGGAGAGGCTGTGTCTGTGTGGCCTCTGCTGCCCCCTGAGGCCCTCACCTGGGTGCTGTCAACACCGGATGCTGTGTTTGCTAGGTGAGGAGTGGAGCTCTGACTTTGTGGCTGGAGGAGCTGGAGGTGTTTCTGCTCCCTCTCCCGTTTCTTTCTTGAGTTCTGTGTCCTGGCCTCCATTCCACCAAGGTGGCTGTTCCTTCTTTGAAGTAATAGTTCTTGAATATTCCTCTTAACAGAGTTGTTACTGCGTGCCCATAATTACGCTGGAAATTAAAATTCACAATTCTTGGTGTGTCCGTGATACATGGAGCTCGGAATGCTCAGGGTCTGCTGGGCCTGGAGAGTAACTGGTGCAACAGTGACACTTGCTTCACACCGTGCACACTGAGGGCCTCAGGCACATGCACCTCCCACAAGGGAGCACCACCAGGGAGCACCCGAGGAAATACAATAACAGCCTGCGACACTTCACAGAAAATGTCACCTTTACACAAATGATTTTTAAACTTTGTCCACTGTAGATAGAAATTGCACTATCACACACTGCTCGCCATATCTTAATTTTGAAATAGATTTTCACTTTCCAGCCTATCTAGGATAGTGCTTATCAATTTTCTTCTCCAAGAAATCTCAAAGGCAAAAAATACTGAGTGTGTGTGTTATTGCTGGGTATGTGTGTTTGTGTGTGTGTGTGTGTGTGTGTGCTTATTTTTCAGTATTTTCTGGGGAGCTTATTTACACTGGGGTGGGATAGACATATAGAAACCTAAACTTTATTTGGGGACTTCTGTTTTTGCTGTAAAATTAACACAAACTTTGTACTCCATTTTAAAATCATGCTTGGGCTATGGTGGCTGACACACCTGGTCCATCAGAGGTAGGGTGCCTGAGTTTGAACWCGTAGGATGAAGGGGAGGATGAGATTCTGCTCCAACACTCGGGCCACAGGAGGAGGTCCCTGTGCAGCTTGTGGCAGCACCTGCGGCACTCGATGCTTTTCTGTTTCRTCCTCCACATCTAGTCTGTGGTCACCCCAACCTCCTATCTCCCCATAAATTCACTTGTAGGAAGTCTTTTGTATGTTGAAAGTTAGGAAATCAAGCTAAGCTTGCTCAAGAACTTCTTTCTAAAGATGGCTCCAGACTGGCACTGGCTGAGAGTCTTGGCATCAGGGGATGGAGAGGGCCCCTGGGGAGCTGCGCTTTCCCAGTGCCCCTGGAACTGAGGGCTGCCAGGCTACTGGATGACAAGCTACACCCTCTGACTACTTCTGCTCTTTTTTAAAAAATTTTATTTTTTGTTCTAATTTGTTATATGACAGCAGAATGTATTATAATACATATTACATATATAGAGCACATTTTTTCATATCTCTGATTATATACAAAGTATATTCATAGTTTTCATGTCTTCATTCATGTACTCAGGGAAATGATGTCCATCTCATTCTACCATCTTTTTTACACCCCTCACCTCCACCCATCCTCTCCTTCCTCTTTACTGTATCTAGAGTTTGTCCAGTCTTCACATGCTTCCCCTCCCAACCCTATGAATCAGCCTCCWTATATCAGAGAAAACATTCAGCATTTGGTTATTTGGAATTGGCTAACTTCACTTAGCATTATATTCTCCACCTCCATCCATTTACCTRCAAATGTCATGATTTCATTCTCTTTTATTGYTGAATAATATTCCATTGTGTATAAATACCACATTTTCTTTATCCATTCATCTACTGATGGGAATCTAGGTTGGTTCCACAGTTTAGCTATTGTGAATTGTTCTGCTATAAAGAGCACTAATCTCTATGGTATATAAAGAACTCAAAAATCTCAACACCAAAACAACATATAACCCAATCAATAAATGGGCCAAGGAACTGAACAGACACTTCTCAGAAGTGATATACAATCAATCAACAAATATATGAAAAAATGTTCAACATCTTTAGCTATTAGAGAAATACAAATCAAAACTACYCTAAGATTTCATCTCACTTCAGTCAGAATGGCAGCTATTAAGAATACAAACAACAATAAGTGTTGGCGAGGATGTGGGGAAAAAGGCACACTCATACATTGCTGGTGGGACTGCAAATTGGTGCAGCTAATATGGAAAGCAATATGAAGATTACTTGGAAAACAGGGAATGGAACCACCATTTGACCCAGCTATTCCTCTCCTCGGTCTATACCCAAAGGTCTTAAAAACAGCATACTACAGGGACATGGCCACATCAATGTTTATTGCAGCACAATTCTTTTGTTCTTTATAAAGACTCTCTTTATCATTGTTTATTTAAACTCATGCCTGACTGTCTATTCCATTTTCCAAGCATGGCGTTATTAGCCTGGGATTTTGATATCTAAGAGGGTTAAGAGCAGTGAGGTGGAGGAACAGATGGAGCAGGTCTCMCCTCCTCTCCTGAGGTCCCGCAGGCCCAGGGGAGTGGGCTCTGCTAGGTGAGGTCAGGGGGGCGTTCCATGYGGTGATGTTCTGATGAGGCTGTCATGTTGGGCTGCTCATTCTGGTATCAGCAAATCCTATAAGGACCATGGAAGCAGAGGACACGTTCCAGGGACAGCTGGGAAACAAGATCCTCAGCACTGGTTTCCGAGAAAGCCATGCACAGGTGACTAGGTGCATGCCAGGTGTAGAAGGGGATGGAGAGATGTAATAAGAACATAAACAACCACAAAAATAGCACCGGTGAGCACCTGCTGCCTGGTTCAGCACTGATTGCCTGAATTTCTAACTTCACTACAACTTTGGAGTCTGGTATATTTAGTGTCTATGTTTTACAGACACTAACTTTATTTAGTGTTTGTAAAACGATAGAGGCCCCACTTCCAGGGTCCCACATCCAGGAGAGAGCAGAGCCAGGCACCCCTGGGATAAGACAAGGGGGAGAGCTCACTGCTGTCTTGAGTAGGACACTAGGGAGTTCCCTAGGGTGGCAGCACCAAAGGTCACCTAGGCACTTTAAAGTATGATTCTGGTTACCCCTCATGGCAGTGCATGGGGCTCTGACATCATCACCTTACCAACAAGAAAACAGACCTGGAGAGAGCTGACCGGATGTGTAGGATTGCACAGCCAAGGTAACCCTTCCAGGTCAATGGCAAGTCTGAGCACTTTGCAGACACCACAGGGCTGCCTCACAGGAGCTGYTGGGGGACCTCCACAGCCCCAGAGAGCAGAAATGGAGACCACTCCAGTCAGCACCTGGTTCCTGCTGTGAGTCCGTGGACAAGTTGCCTCACTCCGGGTGCCTATTTTCTCATCCATGAAGTGGGAGTAACAACTGCATCTTTGGCTGCATTTATGGGGCTAGAATCATACTTTTTCGAAGGTAATTTATGCAACGTGCTTGGCACCTACTAAATTCAATGGATGTCAGTAGTGATGGCAGTAGCTCAAAGAAATGACTGCAGAAGGAAATGCGGAAGTAGAGCAGATCACAGGCCGAGATGAGTTCTGAAGGACAAGAGGAGAAGAACTAGGGGTGGTCACTCCGGAGTATTCTTAATCCAGAAGAGTGTTCTCAAGTAGGCTAGCAGTAGGGTTTATACAGAAGAATTGAATTATTGGAAATGTACTTAAAGAAAGGCAATTAGGCAGCCGAAGGTAAGAGTCCYGAGGGAGAATGGAGGGCAGGGAAGGGGAGATGAGGGAGAGCCAGGCTGCAGGTCCCACTGGAGGCCCCTTCCCAGCATGCCCCTAGGCTGCTTCCTCAGCATGGCTGGGTGAATACATAGGAATTGCAAATTCATGTTCCAACTGGACTAAGCAAAAAATCGAATCCAGGTGATCTGCTACACCAGGAGGAAATGCACTCCAGTCAGGGGCAAGCACCCTGAGGGTCGCATGGAGTTCTGATTAYCTGTGCTCAATTGCTGTCCTTGGCCAGAGAATCTGGAGTTGGCTGGAGTTACTTGTCATGTTTGCTGTTCTGTCTGCATTCTGAGAGTGTTCATTTGCAGGTTCATGTGCTTGTTTGTATTTGAGTTCTCAGTTCGAWGCATGGTCTTGGGATTTTTCTCTCTTTTTCAGAATGCAGAAATATATAAGATGCAAAAATATCTGTGCCCAGCATTTCAATCTCAGCTGGTTGTCCTGCTGTTAAGTGGACTAATTTTGAATACAGCAATCCCCTTAACATCATTACTGATAGTCATAATTTCTTGTATCCTAGATTTTATGGAAGGGGTTAGACTGAAATGAGCTAAGGCTTCACTCTGTGGCCATAGCTTTGGGATGAGTTCTTGAGACAATGCTGTATCCTCAAGGAAGGAGAGGAGGACCCTTAATCCCAAAGGGTATTTCTCATTGTTACTTTGGGCTGGCCACAGTCAGGTGGTCCTGGATCCTCTGCTTGGATTGCAGTGTGCAGGAGCTCAGGCAGATTAGGGCAAAGGGCCATCTGGTGGCTGGTTGTAGGTGCTTCTTTCCTGAAGCACCCTTATGTCATCTATGCCAGGAGAATTTGAGGTCTGAGACCATCTGGTCCACAGACAATGACTTAGTCAGAACTAGGCTTTTATCTCCCTGGCATCTGCTCAGGTGAGCTCGGCTGCTCGGCCCTCTCACATGTGGAGTTGAGACCTTGTGTCCTGCCACCTTAGAATACAGCCTGGTTCACCCACGAGTAAAGAACCTGCTCTTGCAGCAGTTCCCGTTGCCATACCTTATGTTCCTAAGTTTGCAAGTTGGCTGACCGTGAGGCCCCAGCATGGCAAGGCCAGTGCTCACCTGGCATCTCATGCAGTGGTGGTAGTCACTGCCAGAGCAGTCACAGCCTCTGCATGCATCAGACATTCAAAATGTCCTCGAGGTGCTAGAAGCAGGCAAGTCTTTCAAGTGTACTGCCTCACATGTGCCTATAACTTTCCAGAATGATCCTTTAAACGCGCTGTTGATGTCCTATTAGCCCCTGTTTTCCTCCCAAAGAAATTTGTGTTTAGCTGCCAGGTAACCTCCTTGTGTGAAATTTACAGGTCTTCCAGCCATAAAAAAACATTAATGCATAATACATAAACAAAACCTATGCTCTTTTTGCAAAAAAAAAAGGGGGGGGGCAAAAAGAAAGAATGGAATTCAGTCCTTGCTTTCTAAAGGGAAAAAGCATGAACCTTGCATTTTCAGTTTGACGCCTTTTTGACTTAAATATATGAGATGACTATTAATGCCTGAATTCACAGTAGGGGAGAAGGGAAATGGCAGTAAATTGTAAAGCACATTTACATTATAACAAGGCCCACAGAAGCATTGTAACTCACACGGTTATTTCAACAGAGGTTTGGACGCCCTCCAATTTAATTTCCTGAAGTCGGGCTGTGCAGCTGGGTCATTGCTGGCCTAATCTGGGAAATGTGGCTCTGAGGCTGTGCATCAGAATGCCCTCCTCCAGCTGTCACCAAGCAGCGTCATTTACAGCCACCGAGGTCCAGGGCRAAGCATCAGAATCACTTTGTGTAGACACTGCAGCCTGCTGGCTTCATAAATTCTGTTACAGAGAGCAATAATCAATATTTCATGTTTAATCATGCAGAGCCAAAATTAGTATAGACTTTATGTCTTCTACTTTTCCAAATTATGCAAATACCAGTAACCCCTTTCCAGTGCCCTTTTCACACTTTCATTTAAAAAAGGGGCATGTGGGGGTGGGGAATTCTAGTAATATTTAATTGAACAATTGAACCATTGAAAGCATCAGAAGTAATGTTGGCTTTTCACCTCTTTTAAATAGTCACCCTCAGGCTAACATGGAGCTGTTCCAGCACAGAAAGCTGACTTAGTGAGTGCCACGRGTGTGTCAGCTGTGGCTGCACAGTGGAGCATACTGCAGAGTGTGCTCACAGGCTGTGTGGCCTTCRACACCGTGGACATGCCAGGAAAGTCAAGAGGCTGCGTCTGGACAGGARTGCGCTTCAGAGAGAAAGCAATTCTGAGAAGATTTCTGATGTGAAGCCTGTSCAGACACACCCTGCTTGCTTAGACTGTGGAAATGGAAGGGCCAGCAAAAAGCAGGAAAAGTGCTTCCTTACTGGGTAGGCCTAGGGGCTGACCATGTGGCTGCAGAGGTGAGCACATCCACCCCCAGCCATGTCCACTGCTGGCACCAGGAAGACACCTACAGGAATGATGCAGAAAGGGAGGCCAGGCACCAAGAAAGAGCCATGAGCTACTGTCCACTCTGATGGTTCACGCTCAGGTTACTTCAGAAGGCCCCTTAGTCCAGTGGGCAGCAGGATCAGTTGTCAACCAATCATTAGCATGGCAGCCAGTGCTCACGCCTTGCCACTCAGCAAGGCTCCCCCTGGGTTTCACATGGGGGAATTTGGAACTCAGTGTGTTGAGGKTGCATCTGAATAACTCAACCTAGCAGAGAGGTTTAACCTACATCTTAAAGACAGAAGCTGGCTGGATGCTGTGGTGCACACCTGTAATCCCAGAAGTTCTGGAAACTGAGGCAGGAGGTTGCAAGTCCAAAGCCAGCCTTAGCAACTTAGCAAGGTGCTAAGCAACTCAGTGAAACACAAAATAGGGCTGGAGATGTGGCTCAGTGGTTGAATACCCCTGAGTTCAATCCCTGGTACCAAAAAAAAAAAAAAAAAAAAAAAAAAAAAAAAAAAAAAAAAAAAAAAAAAAAAAAAAAAAAAAAAAAAAGAAAAGAAAGAAAGAAAGAAAAAAAAGACAGAAGCTATTTAGAGCATGGTAGAAATCATCCTATTATTTGGTCAGTGAAATGGAGCCAGAAAATTGACTTGAGGACAGCTTCTCCTCCAATGGGTCAGTCATAGCGCCGTTCTTCAGTCAATTAATATGATTAGTCAATAGTTAATTGTACTTTTGGATAGTAGAAAACAAGGACAACTCAGGGTCTTGGGGTGCATGAGCCAGGATCCAGGGATARGACAGTGACTCGTGAGGGCATGGACACTTTCACAGAGCAACTCCACACTGGTGGGCCTGGGTGCAGGGGAACCGCAGGGTTGGGAAGCATCTGGGCCTGAACGGTTGTAGGATGAGAGCAGGGAAGGAGGAGGAGGAGGAGAGAGAGCAAAGGAAGTGGGGGAGGCAGGGAGGGAAGGAGGGGCAAGGCCACCCTGTGTGGAGCCACCCTGCCAAGGGACAGAGTCCTGGGAATCCAGCTCCTTTCCCACCCCCTCTCTCTCCAGTGCCTCCCACCRCTGAAGCCACAAACAAAGTGTCTTAGTTAATAAAGCCCAAGTTTCCAGGGCACAGAGGAGAGAGGCGAGAGGATGTTTCAGCACTAGGCTACCGAGGTTCGTTTTGGTCTTAGAACAACACACCCRTTTCACTCACTCAACAGACACGCCTTCAGCATGCACAAGTGCTTCTTTCTGGAAATGGGCAATCAGGTGGAGGTGTTGGCATTGCTGAGCTCCGAGCTTGGCAGAGCAGGCAGTGGAGAGGGGCTAGTAACATTGGGATCACCACAGGCCACTGAGGAAGCAGGCTGGGTGCCCTGCCCTCCTCTYGGCTGGGAAAACCTGTTGAATAAGGGGAAAGTTGGGGAGGAGCTCAACCTGCATGTGTGGCASGTGATTCACAGTGGAGGCCCCCAAACAGGGATCAGTCAGCCCTCTGTCTGCACAATCACATACCTGCAGATGGAGATCATTCAGGAAAACGTGTCAGTATGGAGCCTGCATGAATTTCCTCTTGTCACTCTCCCTCAACAGCACAGTGTCACCACTCTTGGCCCAGAGTCTTCACTGTGAGGACTCAGGGTTGACTTGAAGCATACGGAGTAGGTTGTAGGGCTGCCTTACTGTGTCAAAGGTCAGTAGACTTTGTGACCTCTGCCCTGCAGAGAGCAAGGGATGGCTGCCGTCCCACAGTGGSTGCCTCTTGGGGCAGGCTGCTAGGGTGGCCAGGAAGGGTTGTGGTCTCAGGGAATGGGATGAAGATCTGTGAGGTCTTCAAATCCTCAGTGTWGCTAGGGCTGAGGACAGGGGCTTCACCAGGAAGCGGAGCTGTRTCCCTCATACCCTGTAGCACTAAGGGTGCCTGAAGTGCAGGGGAGGTCTATGCGCATCTGAGCACCTGGCTCAGGGAAGAGGTTTCCAAGAGGGAGAAGCAGGCTCCAGAGTTGGAGACCCCAGGCTTCTGCAGTCTCTTCCCAGCAGCCAGGGGCCAGCACTGTGTACCGAGTCAGGTGGAAAGAATGGAGGTCCAAGCCCAGCACAGTGATACCAGTGACTCCCGAGGCTGAGGCAGGGGATTGCAAGTTCAAAGCCAGCCTCAGCAACTCAGTGAGCCCTAAATAACTTAGTGAGCCCCTGTCTTCAAATAAAAAAAAGGGGGGCTGGGGATATGGCTCAGCGGTTAAGCTTCCCTGGGTTCAATTCCTTGTACCAGACATAGAAGAGTGGAGGTGGGGTTGTATCCCCACCCTGGAAAGCAACTGGAGCAGCATCTTCAGAGATGGAAAATCCATCTGAGTGAGAGTATTGTATCCAGTTAAGTCAAGGATGAAACTGCCTTGTGTGTTCACATTCATAAMGATGTCTGGAACTTAAAATGGGGTATTGTCTCAATTTGGCTAATAACTGCCCTCAAGTATTGTTGCCATAAGTTCCTGACACTATTTTGTGATACCTTTTTTTCCTTTTTTACAGGAAGAGCTGAAAAGATTGCAGAACCCTTTAGAACAAGTCCACGATGGGAAGTATTTGCTTGAAAAGTAAGTAAAGAAGTTTAAAAGGGAGCTAAATCATTGGCTAGGTTAAAAGGCTTGCATGAAAAAAAAACTCAGTTGGGTGTGGTGGTGCACATCTGTAATCCCAGCAGCTTGGGAGGCTGAGGCAGGAGGATCACAAGGTCAAGGCCAGCCTCCGCAATTTGTGAGACTCTAAGCAACTTTTTGAGACCCTGTCTTAAAATAAAAATTAGGATCACATGGTACTCAGATGTCCATGGTGTGTGCTCCAGGGATTGAGACTTAACACTTCCATCTTTAACTTTAGTCAGGGATATTCATAGAAYGCATTAAATGTGCAAGAAGTATAAGGCTAACCCCAAATTAATAGAATAATAGCATGAACATTCAAAATAACACTGCAAAACTATATAAGACTGAGCAAAAGGAAAGGCAGGGGTGGGGAGAGAGAAAAGCAATGAATAAAGGCAAAAATAGTGTCTACCTCTTAAGTTTTTAAAAACTGTCCAGTTAGGCATGTGAGATATGTATCCTGATTTCACGTTATGGGAAGAGCTTAGAGAGTTTGTTTTTTTTTTTTTTTTTTGACATTAAAGTAGCTTGTGATTTTATAAGACTTCTAAAAATATTAGCATAATATCAAATTGATTGACAGCCATTGTCAGAATAAGAGAATTAAAAATAACTCCCTGTTATGAAGGATCTGCACTGTGCTCTGTACTGTGAATGCCCACCAACTTTCCCTCATGTCCKGGTTGTGGCCTATCCATAGGAGTGTTACCATTTCCATCTTACAGAGAGGAAAGAGGCTCAGAGAGGCTTCTGTGTGCTCAGCCAGAGAACGGTGARGATGAGAGCCAACCCAGGTTTGGATGCCCACGGAGCTGTTGCTCCAGCCTGGCGGGGTCCCAGTGAGCTCTGCCCCAGTGTGTCCTGCATTTACAAAGTACCCTGACATCCTCAGAGGACCGAGCAGGGCAAGCTGTGAGGCCAGGGGACCCTGTGAAACCACTGCAGGGAACCAAGGAGGTGCCCCCTGGAGGAGAGGAGCTGGAGGAACGTCTGGGAGCCAAATTGCATCTTTGTCTCCAGAGAGAAGCTCGAGACCTACCAATAGGAGATGAGGAGAAACAGCCTTGGGCTCAGGAAAACATGACTTTTACAGCTTTCAGGCTGCCCACAATGGAAAGGATGTTGTCAAGAAATGAATATCCCAGGAAGGGTATAAATAAAAACATCAAGAACATTCCTGAAAACAGAAAAGCTTGGGGTGGGTCTGGTTCTTCTTTCTGCCTTTCCCCAGCTCTGTGAGTCAGAAAAATGGCCTCACCACCTGAGCCCAGGACCCTCAGCTTCAAGGAGGAAGGACAGAGTGTCAGTCCTCACAGGCATCAATGAGGACCTGACCCCATGGGAGGTGGCCCAGGCATGGTCCAGACAGTACTCTGTGGATCTGCTGGGCAGATGCCCTTAGAAGGGCAGCATCAGCCCTTCCAGCAAATGAGCTGCCTGGGTTAGCTGCAGATTTTATTTATCCTCACTATGGCTGTTTGCAGGTAATGGGAATGACTTAKAAAAAAGCAGTTTAGCCATTATGGACCAAGCTCTGGAAATTCCTCAAAAGACTGTGAATGGGCTGCCTTATGACCCAGCAGTCCCACCCCCTGGGTGCACACCTGAAGGAAACGAAGCCAGCCAGCGTCTCCGTTTCACTGCAGTCCTAGTCACGCAACCAAGACACGGGGACAGCCCAGGTGTTCGTGAAGGGTGTGGACAATGTGGTGCACACAATGGAATGTTTGTTACTTGGCCACAAAACAGAACCAAGTCTTGTCATTTGCAGCCAGTGGATGGAAGTGGAGGACGTTAAGTGAAATAAGCAAGGCACAGAAAGACAAGCACCACATGCTACAGTCATGTGGAACATGAAACAGTTGCTCTCACAGGAATGGAGACCAGAGTGGTGGTTTCCAGAAGCTGGGAAAGTCAGGGAGGCCAGGAGAGTGGGGAGGCTGGGAGAGAGGGGAGGCTGGGGCAAGTTGATCCGTGGGCACTACATTAGTCACTCAGGAGCAGGAAGCTCTGGTCTGTTTGGCACAGTAGGGTGACTGCAGATAACAATAATGATCGGTCCATTTTGAAAAGCTAGAAGAAAGTACATTGAACRTTTTCCCCATAAAGCAACAATGAGTGCTTGAGGAGATTAAAGTTTAACCTGGTTTAAACATTACAGAGTGCATATGAGTTTCAAAACATGGTGTTTCCTGTTGTTATGTACCACTTTTGTTTTTTATGTATGAGTTAAAAATAAATTCAACTTAAAACACAAGAGAACATCTCTGTCTCCCCCATCTTCTTGCTGCYGTCACCACTGTGTGAACAATGACCAGAGCCTCCAGCTGACCTTAGMGAGAAGCTTCTCCCATGTGACCCTGCTGTAATGACAGAGGGCTGGTGGCTTTTCATCCTGCTGCATTGGAGTCTCCAGGGAGGTTRCACTCAGTCCAGGAAGGCTGGACCTGAATCCCTAGGGCCGCCTGATTCTTCTTGAGAGCTTCCTGGTGATTCAGGGGAGGAAAGGGGCTGAAGACAGTGGACAGATGCTGTTCAGCTTCTTCCAGTTCATCCATCTCCTCCTGTGGCATCACCCTCCGAGGACTCAGGACACCCTGTGACGTTCAGCCCATTTATTTACTGAACCTGGCTATGYCATGACTGATTTTAATGTAGGAAATGAACTGCAGAAGTGTTTCTTTTTCCTTTGTTAATTGACTGCAAGTGTGTACTGAGCTCTTGCCACCACCACCACGTAGCTTCGCCCTCTGCCCCAGGGGGAGGTGCGTGTGCTCCGCCTCCTGCAGCCCACTCTTCCCTTGCTATCGCAGGCCTGGGCAAGCCCGAGTCTCTGGGGGTTTAGTACAGTTGTTGTTCCAGCCATGAATGAGGAGCCCCAGGACGGGAACTGTCTCCCCTCAGAACACACGGGCCCTGGGGTGACCCTCCCTTTCATGCTTGTCCAGGACACTGAGAAAACAAGCTCTGGCCATCTGCCCGACAGCTGCAACCATTCTGTGGATTTCTGGGAAGTTTCCTGACCTGCTCGGGGCAAGACTGTGTGTCCTTGAAAGCTGTCGGATTTGATTAAAAAATGGGTGCACTTAGGTGAGCTGCAGCTGTCCTGGCACTGTGCAAATCAGCCCAGCCAGGCACGCCCACCAGAAGTTAAGTGCCTGGATAGGTGGCCCCTCGGAACATTCGCCTTGTTCTAAATCTCCGTCAGTGTACAGGGAGAGCTTTGCTCCACCATGTGGGAGACCATGTGGAGGGCATCACAGGGCGCGTGAACACTCACACAGGTGCACACACTTGCACACCAACACATGGGCACATACACACACTCATACATGCACACACAGACCCACAGAGCTTGGCAAGGGCCCAGGAACAGAGAAGAGCTCTGTCAACTCATGAATTGGAGGCTGCTTATAGCTATTGTTCCCAATGATAGTTCATTGGCACAAGCCCGCAGGCTCACTGCCATTTTTGTAACTGTTGAATGGCTGGATCTCTGGTGGGTGTCGTGTGATAGCAGGCCACATGTTTTGTTAGTATGCAGTCACTTGATTAACCAATGGAAGCTATTGATGGCCTAGACAAATGCTGGCCAATTAAACCAATAGGCATTCGAAGACCATTGAGGAAATATGAATTCTACCCTTGGATTAGTGAAATTGCTGGGAGAAGTTCTCCTTATGAAGATACCACGTTGCTGCAGTCRCTGCATGGTGACAGGTCTCCCTGCATGCTCACTTGTGTCTCTACCTGTCCTTAATGGGATGCTCAGTGGACCCTGCAGTGTCCTTGCTACAGGCTGCTGTCCCTGCAAGCTGCAGGATTACAGAGGTGAGACTTTACTGTCCGCCACCCAGGTCTGGGTCCCTCTGTCCCTCTGTCCCCCTGCCTGGTGGAGTCCTGAGCATGGGCCCTGCCTGGCAGCCTTGCGTCGTATCCCCCACGCTCCATACTGTTCTAGCACCCGATGATTGGAGCATGTGTGTAGATGGTGAGTGAGGAGAACTAAGAGGAGCCCTGGGTACCCACAGAGCACAGCCTCTTCCTCACCCAGCCAGGCAGAAGGAGCTCCGCCACGCTCTGCTCTCCTGGGCATGCGGCACCACCTAGTGGCCACATGAGTGCCTGTGAGCTGCCATGTGTGCCCTCAGTGCTTAGCCACTCCTCCCTAAGGAGGAGGAGATGCACTGTGGCTTATGGCACTGTACCAGGACATTCAGCAGGCTTTGTATCCTTTTCTTTGATGCCACCACACTCCTGTTCTCATGGCTGACAGCTCMCACAGCCTTCTAATGAGCTTTCTTCCTCTCTCCCTGCTCCCTCCTGCTGCAAGCCACTCCTCCTGTTCCCTGGCTCCAGATCCTGTTTCCCAGGGGCAGGGTGATGGCGCTGGACCTCACATCACTGAGGGCCTACTGGGTGGATTTGGGTGTCAGTACTGGCCTTTTACAGCTCCAGACAGAGGGGTCAAAGCACACATCACGCACGTGGGAGCTGACGTTTCCTGATGCCTGACACACAACCCTTGTCTGGGTCTGTGCTCTGGGAGGAACAGAGGACTAGGCTCTTAGGGGGATGAAGCACATAAGCCAGATTCTTAAGACACAAGTTTTACTGTGTTTCTCCCAAATGGCGAACTGAGCTACATCCGCTTCGGGGTTCTCAGCTGATACAGGGTGTAATTTACAGAATTAAAGATTATCAATGCACAATGTCTGTGACAGGGGCTGTACACACGTGTGACCCATGACCATCTGTATACAGGCTCATTTCCTTCTATCCACCGGTGTGCCTTCTCTTGTGCGAGATCCCTGTTTGTTTTCTAAAACCAGCCTGTGCATTTTCTGGCCTCTGCTCCTCTATTGCAGGCCTTCCTTACACACACGACCTGACACTCTCAGCCTGCAGACTTCCTTCAGGTCCTGTGAAACCCAGCCCAGGGCCACCTTTGCAGGGGCTGAGCCCTCAGTGAGACCTGCAGCACCCCAAGGCAGAGGCCACCATCCGTGGGTCACACTGCCAGACTCAGACAGTGTGGGGAGCAGAGGAAGCTGGGACAGCACACCACTGGGTGGGGCTGGACCTCCTACAGCCACTGGTCAGCAGGATCACGCATTGTGACATTCTCCCCGTGTTCCATCTGCCCCCGGAATGGTCCAATGTTCCACTTTCCTGCCTTGGCTTTGAGTGTAGGGCTGAGCCGTGGAGGTGGAGCCTTCTCTTCTGGGGTGTGGTCACTCTCTGCCGCCCTCCCTCAGGACTCTGTTAATAGAGTCAAGTGAAGGGCCATGAATCCTCATCAGTCTTATCAGAAGCTGGTGACTGAGCTGCACTGTTGCTGAGTGCTAATGTCCTGGGCGGCAGGGAGGCGTGGTTTCTGTTTCCAGCTGCCGGCTGGCCACAGATGTGCAGAATAATGTTGAAAAATATCCCTAAATCTGCAGCCCTTGGAATCAAGGGTCAAGTGTCCGTTGCAACATGGTCCACATGGGGCAGGTGGTGTGCAGTGCTGGCTGGGGGGACGTCTGAACCATTCTACACTAGTGCCCTGTGCCTCCTCCCTGCTCTGGGCAGTGGTGCCAGCTCCCCTCACCCCTTCCCCTTCATAGGGAGCATGATTCTCCAGCGTCCAGCAGCACTTCCCGCTGCTCATCTTACCACCACCTGGGGCCACACACACCTTTTTATTTAAGACCTTCTTCCTTCTTCCTATTTCTGTTCTGGCCCCCTCCAATTATTTTTTGGAAAAAAAACACACCTCTTCTATCTCTTTCTCACTTCCTATCCTATTTTAATAATGCCAAAATTGAGCCCATTTTCCCTACTCTATAGAATCAACTATTATATTAATATAGTACTAACAGTGCCTCGATATTAACACATAGTAAGAAATAGTAAGATCCAGACTGAGATAGAATCGATCATAGAACAATATATCAGATTTTAAAGCTACTTCTAAATGGAGAAGGGGCCCATCGGGATCTCCCTGGCAGTGATTGCCAACCAGGGCTGCTTTCTGGGATTCTTTCAGGTGCCTGTAAGCATCGCCAGCAGTGGATGGTGTGTGCTGTCTCTGCCTCTCTCACACTCAGCTCCACGCGTAAGAAGACACAGGACAATTTACACACGTTTGAGCTTGGCCAGAGCTTCTGATCATTTGGGGGAGAAAAGAGGAATCTTGTAGAAGTTACCCTTGGGGTGCAACCTGGAAGAACAAGCCATGGCTGGATTGAGGAATTAGAACAGAAGTGACTTCAGATGTGGTCTGCAAGCACTGGCTGTCTGTGGCAGGACTTTCCTCATTCATTTGGTCCTGCCCAGTGAAAAGGCTCTGGGGGGAGGTTGTGGCATGAAAAGCCAGAGCATCCAATTTGAGTGCTGGATCAAGTTGGGGCCCTTGCTGGCCTCTTAGCCCCACTCCTTCCCCAGCTTGTGGAAGCCAAGGGTGGGCACCAGCTGCAGAAGCAGGCAGAGAAGTTTCCTGGGGTCCAGCCAGTGCAGAGCTGGAATGCTGTGATTTATGTTTGCTGGTTTGATGGCGGAGTCTCAGCTCATTGAGGTGCAGATGAATAGGCTTATCTCCTCTAATAACTCTGGACCCCATTTCCCTCACTGGAGAGGGCAAGGGAGAGAAAACTTAATCTTGCTCAATAATGGAATTCGAGTCCCATTGGAGAATTTACTGCTGTTCAGTGACTTTTGTCTAATCTGGTTATTAAATTCTGAACTCCCGCAGCAGGTGGAGCAAGCCCATGCCCGCAGCTGTGARGCCTGCCCCTGCCTGTGCCTCTCCTCTGTCCTCCCTTCTCTGCTGCACACCTGGGCCTMCAGGCTTGTTACCTTAAAATGGCCGAGGCCTGGAAGAAGGGGTCTTTGGGTCTCCCTCAAGCCCCAGAGGTTTTGGCTGCACCCCTCACGGGCTTGAACCCCTTGCTCTGCTGGGCTGCCTTCCGTGACCACCGGCAGAGCCTTGGCCAACCTGGGAGGCTTCAGAGGGGAGGGTACTCCAACCCTGCTCCCCCAGGGAGCTCTCCAGACCCACAGAGCCTCGTTGTGAAGCTGACCCTGGTCTCAGGTTCCTCTCCAACACCACAGCTTTCTCCTTGGGCCTGTGACCTCTGTTGGTGGGACAAAATGAGTGTCTACCTTCTCTGGAGGAGCAGAGAAAAGAGGTCACTGCACCATGGAATCTGCTCTCCTGGAAACCACCCTGGCTGCCACTGACAGGCCAGAGCAGTGGGGTCCCAGCAGGATTTCTGTGCAACCCAGCCCCTGCCAGCCTGTGGGGGGTGGTGGGTACATGGGTAGGCATTCTCCTGGTAGAAAAGGCAAGATGGGAACTATCAGGGACAAGCAGCCTCTGCTACACACCTGTGTAAGTGGGAACCAGGATGGGGGTAGGTGACAGGGGAGCTTCAGTCGGCTCTTCATCAGCAGGACAACATGAAAAGGGAAGAATCTGGTAAGTTACCCTGAGCTGGGCCAGTGCACACACCGGCCATCCCAGCAGCTCGGGAGGCTGGAGCAGGAGGACTGCAYGATCCGCTTCCCCTAGAACTAGACTCAGCAACCTCGCAAGACCCTGTCTCAAAATAGAATGAAACAACTGGGCAGAGTGCCAGCCTAGCATGCTCGAGGCCCTGGTTTCCATCCTGAGCACCCAAACTGTACCCTTGTATGAGGTGCAAAGAACCAGAGGCGTTAGGAAGGGTGGCTTTGTGAGGGGGTGTGAGTGTGCAGGGGCTGTGATCTAGAGGCAGGGCCGAGAAGGGCACATTGCCCGCCTTATGGACGTGAGTGGGAAGAGGCAGTTGTGAGCATTAGACCCACAGGATCAAAAGGCCACATAGAAGGGGTAAAAGCCATCGAGAACACACAGCCAGTGGGAAAAGGTCCTCTGGGAGGTGGAAGGCAGGGTCTCTGTCGAACAGGCAAAGGCAGGCTTCACAAGTCAGAAAGTCAGAACAGAGACAGCACCAGCCAGGGCTCCATGAAGCCTAGAGGAGGGTCAGCGTSCACTGGGGAGCCAGGGAGCAGCCGGGAGGGAGGGCAGAAACAAGGAGCCAGAAGGTAGCCTGCAAGGGGACTCCACCCCCATCCAACAGTGATCCCGCAGGTCCCAGCCATGCTCTGCTAGCAGCAGCAAGATCTCAGCAGGTCTTCCAATACAAACTGTCACTGGACGTCTTTGTTACYGAGTGCCACCCTTTCCCTTGGGTATTTATGTAGTGATGAAGCAACACACAGATGCATTGAATATAATCAGCTTTTAACATCCACTCCATAACTATTTCAATTCCTCTCCTGTTTTTTTTAATTGGTATATTTGGTTTTATGATGAAACAGCATTTAGATTTTCTATGAAGGGTGAAAGAGACAATCTTAAAAAGAATTTTGAGGGCTGGGGATGTGGCTCAAGCGGTAACGCGCTCGCCTGGCATGCGCGGGGCACTGGGTTTGATCCTCAGCACCACATAAAATAAAATAAAGATGTTGTATCCAAAAGTTTAATTAAGAGAAGACATGAGATAAATGGATAGAGTGCAGACTTTGCAATTCGAGTCATGTAGATTCAAACCCCAGCTCTGCTTCTTACCTACTGTGTGACCTTGAGCAGCCTGGTGACCTCTCTGGGCCTCCTTAATTGTACTCCTTAAWATGAGAACAGTAACTGGATTATAATGAGCTTTCAGTGAGAAAACCCCAGAAAAATCACTAAGCTTCTTAAGTCTTTTCCATCCAAATGGATCTTCCCAACATATTTCTGTGAACTTGGGTAACAAAAAACTGCCAGTAGGGACATTCGTGAATCCAGGGTTCCAGTGTATGTGATTTTCATWTTACCTCAAAATACTTAGAAGTACTAGACATGTCTGTTTTTATGTCATTTTCCTAGTCTACCCAGGACCCCTACGTGTGGACTTTGGGGCTGAGGGACTTGCACACAGTGACCTTTGACTTCTGCATGTCTTGGGGAAGTTGAGGCTGATCTTCTGTAGGTGAGCCCCACACAGGCCAGTGTGGCTGGTGTCAGCCTCGGGCCACAGTTAATGAGAAGTTCCCTGGCCACTTCCTTGTGAGCAGAAAGTGCTCTCAAGCTACTTCTTGGACAAGCGTATGAAGAATAGGTTTGTTCATCAGCTACTGACCAGGTCATCTGACTTGCGGAGGGCACTGCTGGCCACTGGGCACTGCCTCAAGGCTGTACGGCCTCCCGGTGGCTGGCCTTGTTCGATGCTCTTGTCTTTGAATGCTCCACACCATCCTGGCTGCTCTTCTCCTTCTCAGGCTCCGTCACCCCTCTGTATCCTGTTTCTCAAGTGTCTTGTCATCTTCACAGAGTGTCACAGATGCAGGACCATGCCCAAATGCTCACCTGGGAGGGAGCCGGGTTGCTGCTATCAAGGTGGTCTTAGCATTGGTGAAACCTTAAGAAAGATCTGGAAGAGCAAGAGCTCAGGATGTGCTGGAAGTCCCACCAATCCTAGGTGGAGTGAAGTCAGGGGCAGGCGGGAAGGGGATGGGCTGAGACGAGGACAGCTATGGGAAGCCTTCCACTGGCCCGCGTGGCCCTTCACATCATTGGGTACACGCATATCAGGATGAGGGATTGGGTGGACACCAGACCTGCTAGGAGAACTCACAGCTTCACAAGGAGAACTCAACACAGGCTTGAATAACAGGGCTTCTCCTCATCTGCCCTAAGTCAGCACATGGCAGGCCACTTAGGGTGGCACCCTCTTTTGGCTGGTTCAGAATTCATCATACAGGATTATAAAGTATTTTGAAAAATTTAAAGTAATTTAGTAACATAAAAGAACTAGAAAATTTCATATGAAAACCCAGCTTTCTGGCTACTTAGGAGCAGTGGGAAGTCTGGGACAGGGTGCCCTCTCTGGCCAGTCTGCCCTGCTGGCCTGGAGCAGCTCCTGAGGTCCCCCTTCTGTCTTCTGCAGACCTCCTACCTCCTGCCTGTGCCCTCAGGCCCATGTCTTTGCCCCAAGGCTTTTTTTCTCCCTCCCTCCACCCTGCCAGGCCCAACTAAAGAACCAAGACTCTCTGGAGCTTTCTCCAAGCACCTGGCTCTCAGGGTGCCCTCTCTTCTGTCCTCTGGGTCAGGACACCCAGGGGTGACCAGGACCACATATGGTGAGCCCCCAGGTAGTCATGAGCTTGAGGAGCTGCTCACCCTGCAAAACAGGGACATGTAGAGAAAGGGCAGGGGCAGGTGACAGCGCCATCTCCAATATGAGAGAAGGGAATAAGCAACAGGCCTAGTCAAAAAGTTATGAAAAAAGATATTTAGCATCTGTTTAGAAACCTAGGCTTCCTTTATAATTAAAAATGTAGGAAGCAACAAAATGTGTTCCCTTACTTYATCTAGTCTTCAAAGGATGACATCCTCAGCATTGCTTAATCTAAAAATAACAGTGTCAAGGCAGTTGTTACGGTTTAGATGTGGTGTGCMCCTAAAGCTCAGGTGTGAAATGCAAGAAGGTTTGGAGAAGTGACTGGGTTATAGCCTTGACCTAATCAGAGAATCTAACTGAGTGTAACTGGAGGCAGGCAGGGTGTGGCTGGAGGAAGTGGCTCACTGAGGGTGTGACTACCTACGGGGTATATATTTTGTATCTGGAGGTGGAGTCTCTCTCTGCTTCCTGATCATCATGTGAGCTGCTTCCCTCGGCCACACTCTTCCTCCGTGATGTTCAGCCTCACCTTAAGCCTGAGGAATGGAGCCAGCCTTCTATGGACTAAGATGTCTGAAACCTTGAGCCCTCAAATAGACTTTTCTACCTCCACAGTTGTTCTGATGTGTCCTTTAGTCACAACAGCAAAAGAGCTGACTAAGACAGCAACTTGTTGTTTAGTCTGCAGCCAAGGAGGGATCCAGTAGGAATTACAGTGGAGCCAGGAGGAGAAGGCTGGAAAGTGATTTCCACGAGGTGGGCTTCTCTTTTACAGTAAAACAGCACAGAGAGAACTCACTATTACAATGACAGGTGGCGTTGACATTACTACTGTTAAATTAACACCATCAAATACCATTTTTCAAAGGCCAGTTGAAGTTAGTGAACATATTTTGTTTATTCCTACATTTTGAATTATCAAGGAAGCATTGGGTTTACTTCTAAATGGATGCCAAATATCCTTTTCAATAATTGTGTGGCTGGGCCAGTTCCTATTGTGAGAAATACACTCACCTGCCCAAACCCAAAGAATCAACTGGGAGAACCCAGGCTCTATGGAAGAGAGACCCAAATGATGGTCTYGCAAGATCAGGTGTCTTGTGGTCAGACACCCAGAGATGGTACAGTCAGTATTTTATCCACTAGGGTGCAAGGGGCCTTCTATGGTTCCTCATTGGCTGCATAGGACTTCCTGAATGTCCCCTGTGATTTCCTGTCTCCTATTGGGTTATTAAAGAAATGACATTGAATTGTCCCCACCTCCTCTTGTTCCCTTGTGGTGGGAAAGACTTCTTGAGGTGAACGCATTCTGGCACATGGGAAGCTCTTACTTCTTTACCTAAGTTGCTCTTTCTTAACCAAGAGGCTGTATCTCTGTGGGTCAGGCTGAGCTCTTCCCCCACCTCCTGTTTGTTAAGGGCTGCTCAGGTGCCTGGACTTTGGATCTGCCACATCCATAGGTTATGGTGCTATGGTGTAAGTTAACTGCCTGTAACTTTCCATTCTGCTCTAGGTCCCCTCTAGCTGCCTTTCCTACAATCCAATTTTACATTTCAGCCTAAATGCTCTATTCTGAAAATGGACCACTGGACTTCCTGTTTCTCACAGTAAAGATGGCGTCGCCCACTCCACCCTTTCTCTACACATTGCTGTCTGTTTTGCAGTGCAGGTGGCTCCTCAGGCTCACAACCCCCTGGGGACAACTCACCACAGGTAGTCCTGGTCACCAGTGAAAGTCATTTGAAAGTCATTCTGGAGGTGTGCCCCAAGGGAAGTCACCATGTGTGATATCAACTTTTCTAGGATACAGAGACTTAATACCATGGCTGAAACCATTAAAAAACAATGTAACAATTTAGGGTGCTAGTCTAACAGGAATGGCCTGGTGCTTGACTGTAGCTTCTGCTGGTAGTTTAAAGTCATTGTCCAGCCTGTCCTGCAGCCTTTGAAACTCTAATTATGACTGGCAAGAGGTATGAGGGAAATATTATCATATGAAGTTTAAAAAGAAATGAGATAGTTTAACATGCTTTAAATTAAGTTAAATTGTTTCCATAATCTGTGGACAATGACCATAAATTAAATATCCCAAACTAAAAGAACTCTTGCATTAAGGAAGTCAGTGGGCTTATAAATGTTTTTAATGAACTTTTTGTTTTGTTTTGTTTTGTTTTTTTGGTACCAGGGATTGAACTCAGGGGCATTCAACCATTTAGCCACATCCCCAGCCCTATTTTGTATTTTATTTAGAGACAGGGTCTCACTGAGTTGCTTAGCACCTCACCATTGCTGAAGCTGGCTTTGAACTCGCGATCCTCTTGCCTCAGCCTCCAGAGCCACTGGGATTACAGGCATGCACCACCATACCTGGCTTTAATGCACTTTTAAAAAGCATTAAATGTTTTCTTCTCTTATCACTAAAATAAGCTATCTATTCACTTAGGGAAAATGAATGTTATTTTMTTGGCTAAGGATTGTTATTTCTGAACTAAGGAAAATTGTCACTTTCCAGATTCCAGGACGCTAGCCAGGAAACAGGCTGCTTGAGCAAGTTTACCCTTGTAAACCTGTCCTCGCAGTTTTCAGGACCCTTGGGCTCTCCAAGGTATCACACCGCCCCCTGGTGTCCAACTTTTTAAAATACAATACTGACTCAAATAGCCCCTTACAATTTTACTTATTTTCAGAACAATCAAGGTGACATTAAAAAAAAAAAAAGAAAAGAAAAGAAAAAATGATACTACAGACTATTTTTAAATATTACAAATGTGTGCATTTTATRTGGGTGGCCAAAATTTTCTAATTTTTACAACATTTAGAATGTTACTCGCTTTGTGCCCTTGGTGGGAATGTCCACTTACTTGGAGTATCCTGAAGGGCAGGATCCCTCAGCTAAACTCTGGAGAACCCCTAAAGCCTCAGGCATGTGGTGCCACCCACAGATGCCAAAGTAGTGCTACTCTCTGACCAACAGGTCCTGCAAAACAGTGTGGGTCCCATTCCCAGGCAGGTAATCTTGCAAAGTCTTATTTGAGATTCTGTTTAAAATTTTTATGTCAAAGAGCAATAAGCAAGCACTATATAATAAAACGGCCCACATGCAATTCCAAGCAGAACCAGAATCTTCTCTCCCAGGACRTGAGCAATGTGACTTGGGCCTTTATGAATCTTACCTGTGCAATTCCATGCAAACCATGGACAAGGCCCAAAGGTCTCAGCAGAGGCACCTGGGTCCAGGTAAAAGCCCTGAGGCTTAAGATTCATGGCATCAGAAATTGGCCTGGGACCCCAAGGGTTTGTTCCTTGGGCATGTTCCATGTGATAAACTTCTTTGTCCCTGTAACCAATGGCTGGGATTTTCTGGGCCTGCTGGTGGTGGCCTAGGAGTGACAGTGTGATTTTTTTCCTCACAGCATCCAGCGGGTGTGGCGCGAGCATCTGCAGCGGCAGGAGCCCCTGGAGAAGAGGAGCCCGTCGCCACCTTCAGTGTCCTCCGGCAGGTTGAGCAGCTCCAGCAGCGTGAACACCTTCTCCGACAGCAGCACACCTGTGAGTGCACCTTCCATTCTCCTGGTTGACTTACCGCCGCTTATGCGTAGCCTGGACTCTGGATCTAGGATGGAAGTTGTGGGGTGTGAGCAGGTGGTTTGTGACAGTGAGGCTCTATGCAGCTCAGGTGCTACCTGGAAGCTAGGGTAGGGGCTTTGTCCTTTYAGAACAGACCAATTCGCAACTTGAAGTGAGCTTTACTGAGTCTAGAGAAAGGGTCGTGTTTGAAATCAGCCTCTGAGGCTCACTTCATCCCCTTTTCTCTGTGGACGTGCATCTCAGTTGGTGCCTCTAGAAGCCTTGTGTGATACTGATGTGTCAGAAGGTTAGTACGAGAAGGRGAACTTTCCCAGAGGGAACTGGAAATAGTAGTAAGCTCAGAGCCCAGGTAGGCCAMACTTGGCTGGTGTGTGCAAGTCACCATGGCCAGATGGGGCCACAGACCCCACCTGAGGGGCAGCCACCTGGAAARGTGTTACCATGTAGGGATGCAGGTCAGATATTGTCAAATGTGGCTCCTTCTTCAGGAGATGCCAGAAATCCACGGAGAAGATGTGGAAGGTAAGMTGGAGACCACAGTGGGGCTATAGGCCACCAGCACACAACTCAGAAGTAGGCTAAGGAATGAAGGAACTGTTGATGTCTGTGTGTTAACGAGAATAACATATGTGTTTGTCGGGTGCCTAGAAACCAGGGTGTTATGGATTCAGCCACTGTAATGCTGAAAAGTAAGAAAGAGAAATGGAGTAAAAAAATATTYCTTTGCTACTTTGCTCTAATGTCCATTCAGTTGTGAAAAAGTTTTCTCAAGATGCAGAATCGTGTATTCACATTGGGATCAAGCCAAAGTTACTTTATCTGAGAGGTGTTCTGATGACCRATTTGCACATTCTTTGGTAACTGGTTTTATCTAGAGATGGACTTTTCAAGGGAGGGAATGTGTTGCTTTCATAGCTGTGAAATAAATGGGACAGAAGGTCCACTTTTAACTGAGAGCAGCAATGGAATGTTTGGTGAATTTCTTGGGAGAGTGTCTTGTGGGGTGGCTTGTATCTGAGCGCGCTGTCACTAGAGGGTGCAGGTAGACCACAGTGGGAGATACCAGGCCTAAGGTTGCRGACGGTGCATGATTTGTGAGTAAAAAATAGGTGCAAAGTGAGTGTTTTGCAGGCTGTACCTGAAATGCCACAGGAAGTGCAAACCAGGGTCTTAGACGATTGAACTTCCACGATGGAGATGCAGTGTCAGAAGTTGATCCCTCAGGTCTGAGGTTTTGATTTCCTGCTTTTGTGACTTCTCGTGGCCACACTTCAGGGTGACTGACGACCATGGTTGCTAGGCCAGGGGTGGGGTGTTGTGAGCACCTTGGGTGCTTAATCCTTTGGTGGATGGAGACCCTGGAAGAGAACACCTGACCTCCTCACGGGCCACCCCACTCATGCCAGCAGCTCAGGGGCTCACAGCATGTCCTTCCCCCACCTGGCCACCGTTTTCCAGCCTCCACACACCATTGCCAGCAGCTGCACCTTCTCTAATTCATCCTGGCTTCTCAGCCCCTGCTGCTTTTTCGGTAGAGGAGATTTTCTCTCTCAAATGTCCCCAGCACCTGGGTTTGCATAATGTATGTCAGACGGTGGTGGGCGTGACATCCTGCTGTCCCCTGTATCATCTTCCTTTAGTTCTGAGGTCATGGGACAGGGATGATGATGGTGTCAGTGTGTGGAAATCTGCCTCAACCCCTAGTGCCTACAAAAAATGAGAGACAAAACAAAACACATTATTGGAACCAGTTATCAGAGAGCAATCAGAGACCCAGCCTGGAATTCTAATAGAGGCTGCTGATTATCAGGGTGACTTTGATGTCAGCGATRGCCATGAGGTGCCACTCAACATACAAAATTTAAAAAAAGCTTAAGATGTCAGGATATTTCCAGTCTTGTTTGCCAGGCAGGTGAAATATCCAAGATGTAATTTTTAAAACCTGTGCGCCTAGTTGTGTGGATGGACACAYCTCTGACCCCTTTTCTCCCACAGTTGTCACTTGGCCTGGGCCCCTGCAGGGGACTCACTCTTATCTCCTCTGGGGCTTCTAACCTTCCTAAAGAAGAGGTGGGAAGGTGATCCTGCCCAGCCCATAGGAGCTGCAGGCAGGAAGATATACTTTTTCCACCCGCCAGTGAGTGGACCTCATTTATGGAGGGAATAGAATTACCCTGGCCTGCACTGACCAAGCCACAATGGAATTACACTTTGTTTTCTGTAAACTTAAAAGTCCCCTGTGTAAGTTGAAGTCCATCTGCCAGGGAAGCTCTCCCTGGGGAGCCCCCTGGCCTGATTCCACCTTGATCTCTGCTAGCTCATGGACTCTCAGTCCCCTTTCTCTGGGTCAACTGTTGCAGATGCCTCCAGACCACAGTCAGTCTTCTCAAATCTGATCAACTGCTCGAGTTCCAGTTGTCTAGAGTTCCAGCCTTCCCTCGGCTAGCCTCCAACACAGCCTCCACCAGAAGCAGGCCTTCTTTGCCTGCTACCCGAGCCTGGTCAGTGCCACCATCCCCAGGCCTGCAGTCACTGTAACCACTGCCTGTCTTCCCTATCTGCCCCAGACACAGGCCACATGGGAAACCAACTCCTTGATCTGATTGAGTCCCTGTGATGCACTAAGAATGCCACTTCTGTGTGCTTCTGCTCGGATCCTTGCAGCTAAACATAGTGGTTAAGGCAGCTCTCAGGATATTTCTGCTCTAAAATATGTAATGACAGCACCGTCTAAGTCTGAGCTTCAGATTCTTCATCCTAACAAGAGMTGAGCCCTTGTTGGGTGCTGGGCTGACTGCTGATACTTCTTGTGGATTATCTTATTTAATCCTCTCAATGGCTATATGAGGGTAGCTCTGTTATTATCTCCAATTTACAGACGATGAAAATGAGACTTGGAGAGATAGCTAACCTGCCTTGGGCTGCATATTGGGTGGAGCTGGCTAGTATCTTTCTTGCTGGATTTAGGCCTGGTCAAGCAGTAGCGGTAGCAATCAGCTGCTGCATTTCTAAGACTGTTTTACAATTTGACAGCTATAAACAGTGAGTAAGACACTAGAAAAATTCCATGTGATTCTATAAATTGCCTTGATCCATGCTCTTTGGTTCAAATCTCACACCTCAACTATTCAATACCAAGTTAAAGATCAACAGGAGGGAAGCCAATGTTAAGGAAAGATGATAYTAAGTTATGTTAGCTATCTGAACAATAAGTGCTCTCACCCCACAATGTATCATATGGTAATAAAAAAGATGTTTTAGAAATAGGAATTCTGCATGGCTACCGTTACTGGGGAGTGGAAATTGTGGGTGTCACATTGGAAAAGCAAGAGATGACTTCTTATCTCTGGGCTCARTGGTGTACGCCCGTACTCCCAGTGGCTCAGGAGGCTGAGACAGGAGGATAGCGAGTTCAAAGCCAGCCTCAGCAATGGAAAGGTGCTAAGCAACTCAGTGAGACCCTATCTCTAAATAAAATACGAAATAGGGCTGGGAAAGTGACTCAGTGGTTGAGTGCCCCTTAGTTCAATCTCCCATGCCTCCCCCACCCAAGAAAAGAGTTCTTATTTTAAAATATCAGTCATTGCACAGAGTACAATAGAAAAATGCTCCCTGAATTTTTATTAGTCAATTTTGCATACTAAGATGCTTACACTCAGTTCTCAGCTCTGAGACACCTGTAATTTATCTAACAGGATATAACAGAAAGGAACCATGAAACATGTATAATAAACTCTGAGACTTATAATTTTCTTTTCTTTTTTTTTCTGTGGTGCTGGGGATTGAACCCAGGGCCTTATATATTCAASGTAAGCACTCTACGAACTGAGCTACAACCCCAGCTGAGACTGATAACTTATCCAAGTCAGTATTGCCTGACTTTGCAAATAGATCCAGAAAGATCTTTGTGATGGCCTTCAGAGGTTGTGTCTCATTGGCTTGGGTGGGTCTGGAACCTGGGCCTCCTCACAGCTACTCCACTATACAAGTATAAAACCTCACAGAGCCTGGGACCCAGAAAGTTCTCAGTAGGTGTTAGTTGAATCTGCTCTTGATCTCATCCAATGTAAACTCAAAATGCTGTGGAGATGAGAAATGGACATGTTAACTTGGTACAGATTGTGGGGCACAGTGCCCGTTCTCCCTGTGAATCCCTGAGAACTGACCTGTGTCCCAGAAGTTGTATTCCTAAGCTGAGACTGGAGCTATACACTGCAAAGTAAGACATCTATCATTTGTTTTAGTGTTGCTCTAATTAAAAATGAATTTTCAAGTTCTGAAGATGAAACCAGGGTTAAGTCCTTTGCTTCTGAATGAGTGGGGGGGTCTTCTCAGAGGGCCCAGCCTCAGGGTCCTGAAAGCAAGGCTAACTCATTCTACTTCCTTCCAGACCCCAGGAATGAGGAATGGGAGGACCCCCCTGCATCCTGGGAAACAGACCTAGCYCCACCCAGCTGGCCCCACCCCCTGCAGTAGGAGGAGTTACAGTTCTGAGCAGTTCAAGAGCAGGGGTCTGGGAGGGTTGGGGATCTAGGCCCTCAGTGGAGAGAGACTGRGAGCCCCTAGACTGGTGGTACTGTATGAGTGAGTGGTCCTGACATTTATCAAGAGCTCCAGCCCAGTTGGTGCTGCCCCTGCAGCCAGAGGCATGCACCTTGCTTTCAAGCTGCATGGCCCTTTTAGATCTCCAGTCTCAGGGCTTTAAATACAGCAGGGGATTTGGTGAGAGGAAGCCTTGTCACATCATACCCACTTGGGGGGAACTGGGCCCTAAAAGGGGATTTCCAGGCCTTTTCCAATGTGAGCCTGAAAGCTGTGAATTATGGCATCTGTAAGCCTCATGCTACTTAATTATTGAATGGCCTAGATTTTCCAGGTCAGGAGCAAGTTGCCATCTTAGCCCAGCTGTTCTCAATCTAGGTCCCCCGAGTTCTGCTGTTTCCGCATCCAGACTGTCTTCCAACCTGCCTCACAGGCCCCCCAGGCACCCCAAGGGAACAAATTCTTTGTCTRTCTATATGTCCCCAAACTCAGATCAGAGAATATGGTGATCACATATGAAAAAGACTATATTTACACAGCAGCCAATGTCTCTTTTCTTCAAACCCAAATCTTAGAAAATACRTGTCTTCTTTTCCCCAATTTTAAAAATTTTATGGGTAACAGTGTGCAGCATGTATTTTTGTGTGAAAATAATACACTCACATCTTCCTCTTCATGTCTTTGAGTATTGGTTGATTAGATCTGTAGGTTGAGGGGTCCCTTCCTTAGATGATCTTTTCATTCACGCTTTGAGGGTGCTTTTTCTTGATAGGTTTTAAAGTGATCGTGTGGTTTGGGGTTAAGGATTAAATGTTTCACAGACTGCTAACACTGATCCTTGCCTGCCTGACAGCAAAGTGGATGATTCCTTGATCCCCAACCCACTCACCCTTGGTAATGTAACCAACTCTGTTTTGCAAGGTCAAAACTTGCAGAACTACACATCAGAGCAGAGCCTAGGAATCAAGTACCCACCTTGA